TCGGCCCGACCGGCGAAGATCGGCATGCCATCGACGTCAACAGTGTGGCGGCGCGAGGACCCATCGACGAACACCAAGACGCTGCATCACGTACACCGGAGCCGCCGGCCATCGCCGTCCCGCCGCCCAGCGTCGCCATTAGTTTGGCGCCCGACAATGGTGCAGTCGGTGTTGCAGCTGACCGCGACGAGGGCGATGAGCCAGGCATTCAATCCAGCGTGATCACGCGCGACCGTTCGCGCAAGGACCAGTACCGCTGCAATATTCGTCATGCCGACGGCAGCTGTGAGCGCAGTGTCCGCTGCGCGACGCGAGCGGAGGCCGAGGCGCTGCTCGCCGAACGTAGCGCGGGCGTCCCGAGCAGCCGTATAGCAAAGCGCAGCGGGAACCGTCGCGTGTACAAGCATTGGCGCAAGGTACTTCAACTGCCAAAGTTGTCGTTCCATGCGTGGCAGACCGAGCCACTTCTCCGAGGCATTGCTACACCCAGCGATGTATCGACGAGCGCCAAGGTCCAGCTGGACGGCAAGTACGGCGGTACCAAGCGCGACCGCAACTTGGTCGCGCGAGTGACCACAAAAGAGCGACAGATCACAAGCCTCCAGCGTGACGTCGCGCAGTACGAGGCGAAGATCGCGACGTTGTCGGCGCATCATGCTGTCAACTGGTACGACGGTCTGTGTCTCCAACCAACCGGCGGCGACGCAATCGAACACCCGTCACCACGCCCAGGGCTTCCGACCGCGTACTCTGCCGAGCAGGTGGTGCGGCTGCGCAACCAAACCCTCTGCGTGCTCTTGATGCTTGGCAAGATCGTCGACGAGGCCAAGCTCGACATTGCCTTCAACGAAGCCTACCTCACGGCCGTGCGAAACGCACCAACGAGCTCGCCAACCACGCGCGAGGCGTCGACGACGCGCCAGGAGATGGCAGCTGCGATCGTTCACGACCTCAGTTTGACGGACAAGCCTTCTACGATCCTAGCGTGGCTGCGCGAGTACCTCGAGCTTGGCGGCTTCAAGCGAGACGGGCGTGGCAAGCGGAAGCGCGACAACTAAGAACCCCGACTTTAAGCAAGAGCTAGCAGAGTCCTTACTTCGCGAGCTGATTGCAATGGTGCTGTCGTGTGTGGGTTTGCATCGCACAACACAATGAGGGCGTCTGCATTGTATCAACTTGATACATCGAAAGAAATGCAAAAGCATATAACCCGAAAATCTCTTGCATTCACAACAGACTCATTATAATACCTTCACACGACGTTCTTTATTCATTCTTCCTCTACTCTATTGTTATCGAAGCAAAGGACGCCACGGGCTGCCGCCGCCGTCGTCTCCTGCGCCTTCTTCTGCTTCATGCGTTTGAGCGTCTAAATCGTCGGGCGATGCCACTGCTTGAGCTGGAGCGACTTGTTGACGTAGTACATCTTGCCGTTGTTGCGTGAGACCTCGGCTTCCCAGCCCATTGGCAGCGGCGCCTTCGGGGGCAAGTCAAAACTGAATCACTTCTGTGTCGGCAAGCTGCTCATAGTCACCCGGGCCTTGCTCTCAACGCGGTTGAGCTCCGGCCGCGGCGATCCGCTCTTCGCCGACGTGGCTGCCTCGTCCTTCTTCTTCTCGCCCTCGATGCCTTTGAACCACTTGCAAGCTGAAATAATGATACATTTGACATCCTTGCGGCGCACGGGCTTGGCGCTGGCAAGCTTGTTCTTGCTAGCAAAGCTCAAGCAGAAGCAGAAGGCGCTCAAGGTCGCGCACAAGAAGACCAAAGCGCCCAAAGCTTGGAACACCAAGCTCGTGTTGGCCATCGCAAGCGCCTTGTCAAGTTGAAGCTTAGAAGCTCCAACTTAAGCGCCGACACTAGCTCCGCTTCGAGGCTCGCGACGCGCGCTGCCAGCGTCATATAGTCCTCCTCGTGGAGGCGTAGCTTGGCCAGCTCGATGTCTTGAGCTGCAGCCTTGTGCAAGGCCTCTAGGTACAGCACTTGGAACAGGTGCTGCGCAGTGTCACGCTCAAGCTTGAGCTCTTGGCGGGTGGCCTCCGAGTCTACAGCAGCCGCTGCGCCGACTTCTGCTGTGCGGTTTGGTGGGCATTTTCGGCCTTGTCCAGCGCTACACGAGTTGTGTGCCGTAGGCAATGACAAGGTCCGTTGTCGAGACGGTGGGTGCATCGCCACTGGTCGCTTCGGTAGTCGTCGAGCAGCGAATATACATGGTCAGATGAATCGAGTTGTGACGTTGATGCTCATGCCATTTTTCGACAGGTCACCAAGCTCGGCAGAACATTGAAGGACATACAAAGTGGGGATCGTCCATCGAGAATGCTGCATAAGGCTGGACCTTCCACCTACCTTCTGTAACAATACGCAAATATTGGCTCGTCGTGCAGTGAACCGGTGAGCTCCAGGGTGAGCTCCGTCAACGATCGCCATGGGGCAGTTGGGTGTCAGGTCGCGCGCCAAAATCTCTACTTTCAACCAATCCGCAACGATCTTTTCCAATATACACGTAGGATTCGCTAAAAATACAATTTTATCTACCAATCCAAAGCCCTTACACTGCGGCGGCCAATCGCTGCGCACAACAGTGCCATTCATCTCGGACCACGATGGCCGCCACGCTCGTCGACCTTGTCGGCCCCACGCTCGTGCGCAACGGCGCGCCGCGCACCGACGTTGTCGTTGACCAAGTGGCGTACGAAGCGACGTACGAGTGGCGCCACGTGTGCGACATGTGCGGCTCACAGATCATCGGCGCGCGCTACGCCTGCGACCAAGACGCCAACTACGACGTCTGCCGCGCCTGCCACGCCGCCGCGTCGACGCCCGAGCGCACGTTCACCGAGGCGCCGATTCCCAGCAAGCCAGTGCCGCGCACGAAAGAGACGGTCGCGACGGCGAGTGCTCTGCATGGCAAGACGGTCCTGCTCTACTTAGGCGCGCTCGCGTGCGAGTCGTGTCGCGCCTTCACGCCGTATTTGGCCGACTACTACACGCGGCTCCAATCGCAGCTCGCGCTTGAGATTGTCTACGTGAGCGGTGACAGCGACGACGCGACAGCGCATGACGCGTTCGACGCGATGCCGTGGCTCGCTTTGCCCTTTCTCGACACAGCGCGGAAGGCGGCGCTCGCCCAGCGCTACCACGTCCACGGCACGCCGACACTCATTGTTCTCGACCCCACTGGTGCGACGATCAACGCCAATGTGCAAGACAAGGTGTGGGTCGACCCGCAAGGGCTCAGCTTCCCGTACGCGCCCAAGACCCTCGAAGAAATGCTTGGCACCGATGTCGTCGACCAAGATGGTCACACGGAAGCGCTGGAGCTCGAATCGATGCTGCACAAGACGCTCGTGCTCTACTTCGCCGCGGCCACGGCCAAAGCACCGACCGACGACTTTACGACGCACCTCGCAGCGACATGCGCTGCCAACCGCCTCGTCGACGTCCTCTACGTCTCGGCAGACGACACCAGGGAAGAGTACGATGCGATGGTGGCGTCCATGCCGTGGCGGGCACTGCCGTATGACGTGGCGGCGTCAGCGTTGACCGAGCTCGCGGACGCGTTCAACGTTGAGAGTCTCCCAGCGGCGCTTGTGCTCGGACCTGGACCCGACCGCGCGCTCATCAACAAGGACGCGATCGGGGCCATTGCGAGCGGAAGCTCGTTTCCGTGGCCAGCCCACAGCGTCGTGGACCTCCGCTTCGGACCGTCCGCCAACGGGTACGGGCTCAACAGCAAGCCGACGCTCGTGACGTTTTGCGATAAGCTCGAGGCCGACGCGCTGGCAGCACACAAGGCCGAGATGTCGGTCCTCGCCGCGGAAGCGCGTCCGCATCATGCGGCGTGCAGCGACCACGGCTGCAGTCACGACACGGACGGCCCAAGCATGCTCTACTTTGTGAGCTCGACCACGGACGATTGGCTTCGCGCCAAGGTCCACGACATGGCCAATCTGGATGACGATGCTTGTGATCAGCCACATGCGATCCTCCTCGACATGCACCAACGCCGCCTCCTTGTGCATCATGGTCTCGATGGCGCATCGCTCCGCGACGTGGTCGCCGCCTTTCACAATCATACTCTCGAGATGCAGCCCATGCATCTCGACTAAGCGCACTGTAAGATACACGAGCTAAATGTACAGGCTGTCGAATGCAATGGGAGTTCCCGGTGGTTGACGTGGTTCTTGCCACTAGCAGATCTGTGCTGGCTCTGGCCTCTGTCTCGAGGGCCTCCCGCACATAACCCAGTGCAGCCAGCCCGTACCTATCGGTTCGCTGGCAAGGCCATCATCGTGCGTGTGGTGGGAGCGAGCGGATGGTCAATGACGAGTGGCGGCAGACGAGCCAACCTTGACCTTTGCAGCAAGAATCGAACAAGTCGCCTACGCCTACAAATCGAGAGCATATGCACCCATGCCTTGGCGTAAGGCGCAGGTCACGTCCGCGCGGCCATCGACGGCGGCGTCGCGCTGGCCGTGCCACCTGCGTGGCTGCGTGGAATGGGATCCAGATCGTCGACGATTGTGATTTTATTCCAGGATTTTAATCTGACTTGGGTTTCATATGCAATCACGTGCTTTTGAATTGAATGTACCTTGAAGATCGGTTGCGTACTGGCTTGCTTGGTAGCGTGACGGCAAGCCTGAATTAAAATCGACCATTTCTATAGAAATATCAAGTTTGAATAAAATCGTGGTATTTGAATACCATCGCACCTACCCGGCCAACGTTGGTGCAATAGAACAAACGGGCGAGCATGATGCAAGCCAGCGCGATCGCTTACGGCGACGAGATCGACCTCGAGACGCAGCCTCTGGTACGGGCAGCATGCGCGCTTCCTCTCGCTCATGAGCTCATGCGATGGAGACTAATGGAAGACGGTGATGGCATGTAGATCGTCGAAGCGACGCCCGACGCGATGCTGACGCTGCGCGTCAAGACGCTCTCGGAGAAGCCGCTGACGATTGAGCTCCCGGCTTCGACGACCGTCGGCGCCTTTAAGAGCGCCATCAAGGAGAAGGCCAACGCCGAGGGCAAGTTCCTGCGCCTCATTCACCAGGTTTGTCCATATTGTGACGACCTCGCATGGACGCGTGGCATGTAGGGGAAGATGCTCTCGGACGACGCAGCGACGCTTCTTGCCTGCCACGTTAAGACAAACGACTTTATCCATTGTGCCATGAGTGCGGCGCCGCCGAAATGCGTCGTCCAGCAGGTTGCGCACCATTTGCCATGGACGATGGCGCTGACGACAAGGTAGATGCAAGAGCAAGAGGAAGACGACGCGTCCGTCTCGCAGAACCGCCGCGGCTTTGACAGCTTGCGCGACCGATTGAGCCGCGAAGAAGTGCAAGCGCTCCGCCTGCACTTTTACCCGCAGGTGTCGGCCACGATCAACCAGTCCGAGCCCCGCGAAGGTAGGTCGCAGTCCTCGCGCCACACTAGCCCACACGCTTTCATGTAGGAGAGACGGCCGAAGATCGCATCTACCGCGTCGAGGAGGAGTGGATGGCATCCCAGGGTCCGCAGTCCGAGTTTGGTACCTACTCGCTTCAATATGGCTCCTTGCTCATGTGAATCGTAGCGCTGAACGTTCGCCCGCGACCGGGTAGCTTGCCCCTGCGCGCCAACTTTGATACGCAGCACCGCATCGACATGCCGGAGCTCGCGCTCATGGGTGGCGACAACGAAGGGACCCAGGTTGACATGATCTGGGGCATTGCGATGGGCCTCATCCTCGGCTTCTTCATGCTCTTTCTCGTACGTGCCTTCTTCCGATATATCGTAGCATTATGCATGCGTCGTCTAGCTTTGGGAGCGCACGATTCCGCGTCGCCAAAAGGTCGGGATCGTCATTGGCGTAGTCATGAACCTCATGCTCAACGTGGTCCAACGCTCCGTACCCGACGCCAACTGATGACAGCAGCGCCATCTTCTCACCCTTCGTATTTAGCTTGTAGTAACCTCTCTATTCCATCGTGTCCCGTTCCATGCACGTCTGATCGTCCAGTGACATGGTGCTGGAGCATGACCTCGCACGCCGGTACATGAGTATGTAGTCCAGCCTTGGCATATTCGTACAGAGCTGCGTTGCCATAAGCAGCCAGTCTGTCGTAGCTGTGCAAGCAAGCTCGGTGCCATGGCCCACGGCAGCAACTCGAGGCGGAGCTGCCCGAGGTCGCAGCTCGCGAGCTCTGGGTCTTGCGGTCGACCTTCTCGTGCTGCTTGTGCCGAATCGAACAATGCATGCCGAATTTACCGGATAATAAGAATAAGCCGGCGGTTTTTAAAGTACCTTGGTTCTGGTAGGCAACCCGATTAATATTGGCGACCATCCGGATAGTAATCGCCAGTCATTTTCCAAAAACCAGCGGTTCGAAGAGGAAGCATGATCAGCGCCGCCGGCCGATTCTTCCGCTACTACATGGATCGCGAGCCCGTGGTCGTCGCGTCGTTCGCCCTTGGCACGCTCGGCCTCTCGATGCCCCTTATCGTCGTGCCCCTGCGCCGCAGCCTCGGCTACCCCACGGACCAGTACGACGGCCCGATCATCCCCGAATCGTTCAAGCCCAAGCAGCAATAAGGTGGGGCGCGTAGACGACAATGGATTGGCATCGTTGGCCATCGTAGAGCGCTAACGAGGTACAAACATACATATATGTGGAATCCACGATCTTTGCCTCTACTTGGCCATGGACGCCCGGCCAGCGGCGGCAACCGACGCGCCAAATGTCGCCGCGTACATGGCCCAAAACGCATCGCAGGCCTCCAACGTCGATTTGGCAAAGTGGCTGCTGAGCACTTGCCGGCGTGCGGCAGCATCCTGTAGCAGCAGCACCACCATGCACATGCGGTGGGACTCGAGCGCCATGCCCCGCGTCGGGTGGACGTCGTGGACGTACGGCACGAGGTGCCATCGCACGATCTCACGGAGCCGCTCGTTCATGGGCGCCACCTTGGCGCAAAACTCCAGCAGGCGGTAGAGGTGCGTGCCCGTGAGGAGGTCCAGTGCGTGGGCCAGCGGCGAGCTCGCGCGACGCACGTCCTCGTCGCGCTCGTCGACCAGCGCGGGCTTGGCAAAGCGGTCGAGAAACTGACCGGCTTCCAGCGTCGCCGTACCCGCGGCGTCCAAGCAGCTAGCACGTACATCCATCTTGAACCCATTCAGGCCTCGCCTCGTACCTTGCGAGGATCAGGCAGAGGCCGTGGCCATAGCTCTCGTCCGCGTACTCGGCCAAGAGGCGCTGGCCGAGCTGGAGCTTTTCGAGAAAGGTCGCGACCGGCAGCACCGTCGGCAATGCCACGCGAATGTTCTCGGCGGTCGTCTGCGGCCCGTGGAGCAGCACATGTAGGATATCACTGGCCTGCTCGCGCATGTGAGTCTGCCGTTGCATCGACACAGCAATAGGCAATGCACATACCGGTGTGATGAGGAGGCCCGCGCCATGATTGAGGCAGCGCAAAAGCAGCAGCTTCTCAAAGCCCGGAAGCTCCTCCTCGATCTCATCGCGGAGGCTGTGGACTTCGTCGTGGAGCGCCGCCGCGTTCATACCTACAGCATGGCGTCCCAATTCCTTCAATTACGGACGGCAAGTACCAAGTGCAAACTCGTTGAACTCGACTTCGAGGGCCTGAAGCGCCGCCTGGCCAAAGCGGTGGACGAGGCACACGTTGCAGATGTCAAAGATCGGGTTCGGGTCGAGGCCCCAAACTAGAGAGCTGTCACACCACGTGCTCTCGATTGCACAAGAACAATGGCAGTGTACCCTTCACCGCGTCCTGGAGGTGAGCCATTCCCACCGCGACGAGCTCAGTCACGTCGAGCTGGGCGGTGCGCGTCTCGTCTACGTACCGGGCGTTCAAGTCGGCGGCCCACGCGGCGCGCTGTGTCTCGAGCGGCTCGTGTCGCCGCATGTCTCGAAACTCGTGCGCGAGGATGTGCGCGGCCTGCATCCCAGCGACACGCCGCGCCTCCTTCTCGCGCGCAAGCTGAACGCGATTCGACTTGTGCAGCGACGGGAAGCTCTTGAGGACGTGGCGGGGCGTGGCCGAGGTGCGCGTTCTCGGGTGGCCGTACGTGTCGTCTCCGAGAGCGCGCAGCTCGGCGACGATCGCAGTTTGCACATGAGGTAGGGAGGGGACTCCGTCACGCAGCCGCGCAACGACGCGGTCGCCCATGTCGATAGGGCACCCGACGACGACACCGTACTGGTTGAGCACGCTTTGCACATCGGCCATTTCGTCGCGCAAGAGCGTGAGGAGGAAGGCGACGCGGCGGTGCTCGCGCAGCGCCGCTTGCGCCTCCCACGTCGCAACCGGGTCGTCCACGTGCACGTAATGGCGAAAGCCAAAGTAAAAGTACCGTTCGCGCTCGAGCTTGCGCTCAATGTAGCGCTTCCTCGCCGTCACACCGCGCTGCAGCGTCTGAATGAGCTTGGCCTAATGACAGGCATGGCATTCTAGCCGTATCGGACAGCGTCGCACCGCCGAGTGCCGCACGCGCTGGTGCATCGTATACTGTTTTCGCTGCCGCGCCATGCGAAACACCGACTGGATCCGCGTCGCGAGGTAGTCGTTGTAGCCGCCCGACACTTTGGCAAAGTGCAATTCGACGCGGCATTCGTAGTGTAGAAAGTGCAGCACGAGATCGTCAATCCACAAGAGAATCGCGAGTCGCTACTCATAATTGTCGGAGCTATAAGAGGTCCTTGACGTCGTACCTCGATCTCGGTTTGCTGGTACGACGCCAAGAGCGTCTCGACTTTGGCGTCAAGCGCCTGGGGCACGATGGACGCCCGCGCGCTCGCCCGCGTCCGCGGCGGCACGGCCGGCTTGATGTAGCTGTTGGCGTACAGGAACGCCGCCTCTTGCTTTTGGAGCCACAACGTTGTGTTCTGGAGCGCGACGTCGGCCAAGTGCTGCGAGAGCGCGCGGACGATCTGCACCTGGGGCGAAAGCGGCTCGATGTCGACATGAACGCGCCGGTCGTGCTGAGGACTACTCGACTCGACAGTATTTGGCCGAAGCGGTTCGATACCAAGGGTCGTGCTCTCGACAGACGACGGTGTCGAGCGCATTGCAGCCTCGAGCGCGGCCTGCTGCACGAGCAAGTGCACGAAAGGCATGTCCGTCACGAGCGAGCGCAGCCACACGACGTCGTCAAGCAGCAATTTGGCTTCGTCCATTGAAATGTGCAGCTGCCGACTGTGTAGGAAAATCCGCTGCAGATCCGTGTGGTCCAAAAAGACGCTCCAAGACGCGGTCGAGTGCTCGGGCGCTACGCAAAGCTGGATCGACTGGTGTTTCTCCAGCAGCAACGTTTCGACAACATGACTCGGGGCGTCGGCCGATGACGTGGCGAGGGCATGGGCGAGAAGCGGCTCCAGTGGCGACTCATCGACCAGCACTAGTGTCTCGGGATCTGCAAACGCCAAGTGCGTCACGACAGCTTGCGTCCAAGGGGGTGAGAACGGCGCGTGGGGCTCAAAGGCTGGCGGGGGCAGCAGCGTCAAGCTCGCGTTACCGGCTGAAACGAGCGCCGCGCCCGTCGAGAGGAGCGAGATGCGCACCAGCGCCTCGCGCGTTCCATGGTTGACAGCATTCTCCAGAACGGGCAGCGTCATCGTCGCCTCCAAGAGGGTCTTCTGGAAAGGCCGGCGCAGTGGCGGCGCGGCCTCGGACAAGGCGAGGTTTTGCCGCTTGGGCGATGATGAGAGCGTCGCTTCTTGGACCATAAAGACCATGTAGCTCGTGTCGACGCTCCAGTTGAGAAGGCGCGGTGTCGGCGACGGCACGAGGCTGGCAACACGCGGCGCCTCGGGCTTGGGCGTAGCGGTTGGCGGTCGCACCGGGCTCGGTGGGCGGCACGACTCGGACGTCGAGAGCTTCCGCGGCTCCATGATCGGCGCGTTCGTCTCGGGTAGCGCAGGACGGGGCAACTCGTTGTTCTCTCGTCGGGGAGCGACCGGGGTATGCAGCACGCGGTCCCAAAAAATGTCTTGGCTGCGCTGCCACAGCGAGTCGTCAACGACCGGCGACGACGGCGGCGGCTCGAGCTCGCGCGTCTTTAGAAGCTCCCGCGCCAATTCAGCATGGAGCTCCTTGCGGTCTTCGAAGAGCGGGCGGACAAGGACGCGCCGGTTGCGCCCGAGCCCGGGCAGCAGCGTCGCTGGCTTGGGCGGGGCTTTGGCCACCATGCGCGCCGGACTCGGGGTCGTGGGCACGACAGGGTCGAGCTTCAAGGGCGACCCATGCCGGTGCCCCAGTACGGGCTGCGTTAGCGCTGGCAGCGACAGCTCGAGCGGCTTGGCCGGTTTGCCTGCCCACGCGTGCATATCTTGTAGCAATGGCGGTTACGCGTAGCCAGGCGGCGTAGCGGTTGCCAGCAATGTCAACAGCTCGGACGCAAGACGACAATGGGTTTATGGTATAGATATCTGGTTTATGGAGGTTAGGGCAGCGAGCGCCACGGGCAGAAGACACACACACATCCTCGGTCGGTCGCTGGCGCAGAAGCAGCCAGCGCACCTTACTGCTGCTGCTGAAAGTTGAAGACGGTGCCCGAGCCGCCCGAGCCAAACGTGAATTGGTGGGCGTTGGCTGCAGGAGCAGTCTCAACGTCCTCCTCTTCGTCGACACCGCCAAAGTACGTCTCGATGATCGAGAGCGCCTTCTCGTAAATGTCTACAGGGAGACATCAGACGCGCACCATGGACGCACTAAGATCTACCATTCTCGTGGTGGTACTGCAGGTTTTGGATCTTGGTGACGCCGTCCTGCTCTTCGATTGCGAGCGCCATCGGGTTCTCCACTTCGCCGTTGAGCTCGGCGTGCTGGTGGCCGACGCGCAGAATGTTCTCGAGCGCGTCCAAGCAGACGCAAATGATCTTGCTGTCGGTCACATCAAGCAGCGCCACAAGCGGCGGGATGCAGCCTATTCATGCCACAGTCGCATTGACGTCACGCATCCACGGCATGAAGGGCGTACCTTGCTGGACGAGGTAGACGAGCTGGTCGGGGGTGCCGCCCGACGTCGCGTTCGAGACGGCCCACGCGGCTTCCTTGCGCACCTCAAACTCGCCGTTTGCGAGCAAGTTCATGAGCGGCGGGACGACCTGCGAGTCAATGATGGCCTGGATCTGATCCTTGCTGCCGGCCGTAATGTTACTGATGGTCCAGCACGCTTCCTTGCGGATGCCCTTCTTGGCCGAGTTCAGGAGCGGAAGGAGGCGCACGAGCGCGCCCGAGCGGATGACGAGGTCCGTCTGCATGTCGTCGCCCGTGACAATGTTGCCGATCGTACGGAGCGCCGGCGTCTGCACCGACGTGTTGGGGTGCAAAAGGAGCTCAATGAGGCGCGGGACGACGTTGGCTTCAAGGACCGCTTGGATCTTGTGGTTCTCGCCGTCCGAGAGGTACGAGAGCGCCCAGCACGCGTCCGTGAGCACGTCTTCGTCTTGCGAGTAGATGAGCTGCGCGAGGCTCGGGAGCGCGGGCTTGACAAATTCAAAGTGGGGCTGCGGCTTGCCGCGGCAAAAGTTGCTCAACGTCCATGTCGCGTTGCGGAGCATGCTCTGCTTGGCGTTCTCCGTGAGCTGCTGGATGAGCGGCATGAGCGCGCCCGACTGCAAGACAAGGTCGCGGCACGTCGGCGAGTCGCCCGAGATGTTGCCAAGCGCCCAGACGGCCTGCTCGCGCACTTCGTCGTTGGGCGACATGAGGAGGCGGACAAAGCGCTCGACCGCGCCGTTCTCAATCACAATGCGCGTGTGCTCCGACGTGCCCGACGCAATGTTTGTGAGCGCCCACGCCGCCTCAAACTGGAGCTTCGGGTACTGCTCGTAGCTCAAGAAGGACGTAAAGAGCGGGACAACGTTCATGTTGATGACCTCCTGGATCGGCGGGTTGTTTTCTACTCCATGTGCATCAATATCGACCTGCAGATATGGATGCTGTCGTACCAATCGAGAGGAGCTTGCGGAACTTGGTGACGGCCGCGAGCTGCACCTCGACGTCCGACGAATGCACCTGCTCGACCATCTCGGGCAGCTGCTGGAGCTACAAAGAGGAGTGCATGAGCGCCTCGCTTCGTTCAGAGAATGTCTCGTACGTAGGCCTGGGCACCCGGGGTCCCGCCGGTCATGGCCGTCTCGTCGGCCGTCGTCGCGCCCATGACCATGCGGCGGCGCTGGTTGACCTGCTCATCCTTCTTCGTCTTGCGGATCATGACCGTGGTCTCTTCCCGGCGGCGACGGGTCTCATCCGTGTCGATACCCTTCTTGTAGTTCTTATGGCGGTCTCCCGTGGGGCGTTGCATGGCGCTGACTGAGATTTCTCGACTGTGAAGAAGTTTTCACGCGTCCGAACCACCAAGTCTTTTCGGCTGCCTCCTCCCAGACGGAGAGCGGTCCCACACCACTTGCTGTTTGTATGTACCGGCACTCTCTCCGAACGCGAGCACTCTCATTTGGTTTTTGTATACTTTAGAGTGGCCGATGAGAGTGCACGGGAATGCAGGCAGAGATCTTTGCGCCAAGACGCACCCGTTTGTAGGTGCGCTTTTCGAATCAAGAAGAAGCGCAAGGGTCTCTGGCGCCGCAGACAAGCGACGATGCGTTGATGTATATAGACCACCACAGGCACGAACGAGTCGCTGCGGACTCTCGTGCGATGCGCTCTCGGTACGGAAAAAAGGTCGTTGTTCAAGGCGCGGGGAAGTAGCAAGGTGCGTTTTTAAATGAGGTGCGTCTTTCGTCATCCGAATGCTTATCCGGTCTTCGAGAAACTGTCCACTTGTCACAGCCATCGAACCAGCCTGCGCCTCGGTGGACGGCAGCGACCGATGGGACTCGGCGGGGCACGACCGACCTGGTCGGGCAATGGCAGGTACAATGCGTTGGTAGCTATTGTATCGATTACGAAGCCAAAGAAGGAAGCTCGCCGAGGCAAGTCCGACCGCTGGGCAGTGGAAAGATCAACGACCGCGTCTTTTTGTCCAATCACAGGCCGCATCTGAGTTGGCGCGAAGCATCTTTGGCTGTGCATTGGCCGAGAGATATCCTTGCGCTTCGGATTGGTCGCCACAACGTATTATAACTCGATACTCGTACTAGAGCTCGTCTAGTCGTCGTCGAGCCATACAACAAGACAGTATAATTACAAGCTCTCCAATTATATTGCACGACGACTATTGATTTCCGTGGCGTACTTCACTCTTGCCTGTTGCTTGGATTCCGGATACCCAACTGTGTCATTATCCGGAAGGATCCATCTCGCGAGTTTTGACCAACATGGTGCACATCGTCCGGCCCGCGTGTACCAAGGGAGACCGCCGTGCCGTCGTCGCTCAGAAGACAGCGTCATGCGCTCTCCACTATGGCGACCCCGTCGCTTGCATCAACAGCGCGATCGAGCGTCTGGACTGGACGACTCTCCGGGCCGTCCTTGAGGTGCCTGGGAACCCGGGGTATCGCCTTTGCGCCGCGACCGAGGCCGAGTTCGAGACGTACGTGGCGTCCGAGGACCAGGAGCTCAA